ATGCCGGTCTCATTGCCTGGAAACTGTGGGAACTTGGAACAATGGGACTTCAGAAAGCTAGACTGCCTTTAGGGTTTGAGAACTTTTGATTCCAGAGACTTACCATCTCTTGTTCTGAATAACATGGCACTGCCCCAAGCATACTTTGTGTACAATTTGGAGATCGTCCTAGACTCACAATTCATGTTCAAAGAGCAGGTGGCAGTCATGGCCAGAAGGGCCTTTGTACAACCTCATGTTGTAAACCAGTTGTGCCAATTTTTAGACCGGAAGGCTCTAGTATCATTCACTTATGCAGGGTCACTTCCCAAATGGACTATTGCAATGTGCTCTACATGGGGCAGCCCTTAAGGAACACCTGGAAAGTACAGCTGGTCCAAAATGCAGCAGTATGGGCAATTATGTGTGCTCTTCAATGAGCATATATTGGTTTCCAGTGTGCTTCTGAGTTCACTTCAAGGTGCTGATAATGACTTATATAGCCTTATAAGGTATGGGATCAGATCCGAGACACCATCTCTCTGCTTACATCTATCCATCCCATTAGGTATGTAGGAATGGTATACTCTGATTACAATCTACTAGAGACAGACACCTGAAGGGGCACAAAAAGAGAGCACCCACCCTTTGGGATATCTTATCCCCAGATATAGGACTTTACGGGCCTTTCAGAAGGCGCTGAAGACATGTTTTTACCACCAGACTTTGGGATCTGATTGTGTGTAGAGTCTGTTCAACATTCATAATGAATGTTGTGAATGGTTTGTAAGGCTGCTGTTGATTATGTTCTATGACTTTAATAGTTTTTAAAGTAGTTTTATGTGCTTTCATTTTTATCTTAATTTTTCTTATTGTTGGTATTTTAGCTATTATGATTTGTTTAGAAAGATATATGTGAGATAGCTAGCTATACAAACTGAATAAATAAATGTTCATAACAATGCAGCTCACACAAGATACATAGCATTTCGTAAAAAAATAGTGGTCAGATCTAATAAATTTAAGAGCATTTTGTAGCTGCTGGAGGAAAGTATCTACACAAATCTAGGCACCATATGTTGGTTTTTGACACGAATTTAAAACAATTAATATGGAGCTGCAATTATTTGTATGATTCAAGTCCATCAACAAGGCAGTATTCTGAAATTTCACGGTTTAACCAACTGTGCTGATATTGCAAATATTGATACTGTGAAGAATGAGTTCTGTGATTTTTACTGTTTGGTCCATGAACAGAAATATACTATTAATTCACCTATAGGTTTGAGATCCTATATAAATGTCATGTTCATTATTTATTAACATTCATGCTCAAATATATAATTTTACTAAGGTTGGATTCTAAACCACAAGTACCTATTTTATTATTAATAATCCATCAGTACAGATGTGCTGTACAAACTGATGAACATGGCAGAGGGGTGAAATGGCATAAAAATTCATAGGATTAAAAAAAAGTAACTCAGTTCCTTGTTTTTGGGTCATGGTAATGTCTTTAAGCTGAAGGTCCATAATTCAAAAGTGGACAATTTATGAGCTCAGATATATTATGTGTTTGGAAGTTAGTTTAGAGAAAAACCCTGATGAAATCCAGAGAATCCACACTGAAGTGTGACCTGGAACCATGATTTGCACTGCAATTTTTTTACTTTTGTTCTTTGATATTTGGTGCTGCAAATTTTGCATTAAGAAGGAGCCTTGAAATACAGTCTGTAATTATTTAAGTCAGTGGTTCTCAACCTGTGGGTCGGGACCCCATTTGGGGTCGAACGACCATTTCACGGGGGGTCGCCAAACAAGGCTGTCCACCATTTTCCCCCCTTTTCTTTGGCCATGCCCCTGGCACCCAGTGATGTATAAGTGGTTGGGGGTCACCACAACATGGGGAACTATATTATGGGGTCGCGGCATTATAAAGGTTGAGAACCACTGATTTAAGTGATAATAAATATGATGTACAATGCCTAGTTAGGTATAATGATTAAGGCACCAAGCTAGAAACCAAGAGACTATGAGTATCAGTCCCACCTTAGGCATGAAGCCAGTTGGGTGACCTTAGGCCAGTCATTCACTCTTATCACTAGGTCACTGGTTCTCAAACTGTAGGTCGGGACCCCATTTCACAGGGGTCGCCAAACAACACAGTCCACCATTTTTTTCCCCTTTTCCTTAGCTGTGCTACTCCCTTTTATTCTATTGGCTTTTGAAAGCCAATAGAATAGACTCTCTTGAATAGAGTCTAATTCTATTGGCTTTCAAAAGCCAATAGGAATTGTCCAGGCTGTCTCTGCCCTGCTGAGCCCGCCAAAAGTCCCATTCTGCAAACGGTGCTGCACCAGTTGAGTAGTCCTCGACTTACGACCGGTTGAGTAGTCCTTGACTTACGACCGGTTGGGGGTCGCAGCATTAAAAAGGTTGAGAACCACTGCACTAGGTAGAAGGCAATAACAAATCAACTTCTGAAAATCTCCCCCCTCCTACCCCACTCTCCGCAGGGACTATTCATAAAGACCTCAGGAGTCAATCCTGACTCAAAGGCACAAAAAAACCCCTAACAAAACCAACGTAAATACATACTGTGTAAAAGAGAACCCCTAAAGAAATCATCTAATTTTTTCTTGGAATGCATTTTATCACAGTTTTTCTTCATTATGATTTTTCTGATTTAGTCCATGGAACATGTGATGTTTGATTCTGCAATGGCTCTTGTCTGATCTTTCCTTATATGAAATCAAGCAAATCAAACAAACTTTGCTAGTATTCATGTTTTGTTAAGATGATAGCACAAACCATTGTATCCCTGATTATTTATTGGTGAAGGCAGATTCATTATGTGCCTGGTGCCATTATAAACTTGGTGCCAAGTGAATTCCATGTAAAAATCCTGAGAATCGGGGATCTATAGTTCAGATATATTTTTCCATAATATTTAAATAGAGTGGCACACAAAATCATATGTATTTTATACTCCTTCCATTATGAAATATGTGAGCTGAGAGCCAGTTTTGCTTAATTGTTAAAGTGCTTACCTAGAAATCAGGAGACTGTGAGTTCTAGTCCTGCCTTAGGCATGAAAGGCAGCTCCTGACTTTGGGCTAGTTACTGTCTCTCAGCCCAACCCACCTCACAGGGTTGCTGTTGTGGGTAAAATAGGGGGAAGGAGCATTAGGTGTGTTCACCACCTTGAATTACTTATAAAGTAATAAAGGTGGGATTAAAAAAAAATCTGGTAAAATCCATGACTTGACAATGGATTCTGATGGAACCTCAGTCAAAGAGATGCATGATGAAGATTACATTATTGTACCATTTTTATAGCAGAATAAAAAATTATGAAATTTATGGCTGCAATAATTCATTCTTTGTGGGTGGATATTTTAAAATACTGGGGTATATCTCTAATAAAATTTTATATCAGGAAGTTCTCTATTTGCAATGTATCTAAAATATTCTTTCCTTAGGTTTTGCATTCACAATACGGAACAATTTAGGTGCTTTTAGCAGCTTTTCTTTCTGCAGAAATGTGTCCCATGAAGATCTTGCTCTCATCTGGCCCTCAGCCTATAATATAGACAGGCTTAGTTTATCCTTAGTTCAACTCATGTACGCTTATTATTATTATTATTATTATTATTGGTTCCTTTGAGTCAATGTTGACTCCTGGCAAGTGCCTGGACAAGTCTCTGCAATTTTCTTGGCAAGGTTTTTCATAAGTGGCTTAGCATTATCTCCTTCCTGGAGTAACTGGCCCAAGGTCACCCAGCTGGCTTTGTGCATAAGGTGGGAGAGAACTCAAGTCTCTAGCCCGATGTCTTAACCGCTACATAAATTGGGTTTCCTTTAGCCATGTTGCTTGCTCCTTTATTTTGATACCATCTTAGAAGCACTTTATTCAGTGCAAAATCTGTTAGCTTTATCAGCCATTACCTCCTAAGCGAGAAGGCAGGGGACTGTCAATGGTCAGCACAGGGGAAATAGAGGCAGAATAGGAACCACAGTGGGGAAAACAAAATTTCACGTTGTTTGACTAGCTTTCTGCTGAGTCAGGAAACGGGAAATGCACCCCCCAATTCAGCAGTGGGGGAAATGAAAGCTGCTTCGGGGATGAGGACCACGTTCAGTATGTGCTTCGCGTGTGATAACTTTGCGCTTTCCCCAAAGCGCGGTTCTAAAAGAGCCTCCTCCAATTCACACAGCCGTGCGTGTGCACCGAGTCTAAAATTCCAGATTAAAAGACATTGTTGGCGTCACTGCGAGCACGTGGTGCTTGACGCTTGCCGAAGGGGAGCTCTCCTGACAGAACACCCATCGATCAAGCTTGGCAATTATTATTACAAAGCGCCGAGGGAGGAGGAAAAGAGAAGGAAGAAACAGCCCGCTTTTTCACCCTCCAGCTAAGCGGCTTCTGCCCGCCTTTTCCAGAAGAGCCAAGCAAGGGTGGCGGTGAGCGAGATCAAGGCAGAGGCGGCCGAGCGCGAGATGCAGGAAGTCCTCCGGGCCCGGGGGAAGCCTGCCAACGCTGCCCTCCAGCCCCTTTTCTTTCGCTCAGGTTGGCCGCAACACCGCGTGGAGAGACGTGTCTGGAACTGCTACAAAGGACACGCAGGCGCGATTCTCACCCCGGTGCTTCCTCTCCCCCTCCCCCCTCAATCTTTCTCAAGCAAAGCGGTGAGCAGTGACTGACAGGTGACTTGAGACCGCCCCCCTCGCTAATGATACGCACATTCTATATACAGTACTGTGCAGCTTTCTCTTGGCGACTGCAGCGGCCTTGGAGCTAGCCGAGGGAAAACGGAGGCGCCAAGGGATGTTCTCGGCAAAGAACCGGCCACCTCTCGCTTCCGCAGAGAGGCGCCTCTCTCGGGAGCCGCAACAACTGCGAGCTGCCGCCTGCAGCGAGCCTCCTTGTTTGTCCCCCCCCCCCACTTCGCCGGAGGCGTAGCGCAAAAGGGCGCCTCACTCTCTCGGCTGCTGCTCAACCAAACCCTCCATGGAGGATGCCTCCCCGCCTCCCGCTGGTACCAGCCACCTTCCCTCTTCTTTTGCCATTGGTGGGGCGGGTTGGGTCTCTCTTCTCCCGCCGATAGGAGCCCTCCCCTTCGCGTCGCGCCCGCCCGTTCCAAAAGGTGGACGGGCGCACTGCTATGCCTGGCGGCGGCGGCGAACACCTGGGAAGAAGGGCAGAGGCGCTTGAAGGGGCGGGCTATTTTGACAGTGATTGGCATCCGAGCTCCCGCCAATCGTTGCGGAGCTAGCGCTTTTGGCAAGGCAGGCGGGCGGCGCGAGAGGAAAGCTTAGGCAGGCGAGGATAGGGTGCGCCTTGGACTGAGCGGCGCTCTAGTGGCTGGGGTTGCGTGAGTGAAAGGAGAGACCCTGCGAAAGGGGTGGCGGCAGCGAAAGAGGGAGACGACGCCGAAGAGGAGGAGGAGGAGGCGGCGGCGGCAGAGGAGGGCAGGGCGCAGCCCGAAGCTTGTACAGTGGCGGCAGCGGCAGCTCGTCTCCTATGCTGTTGTGGACTGATGCGTTTTTTTCCCCCCCGTTCTTGCAGCCTGCTTAACCTTCCGATCTTCGCTCTGCCAGCTCTCGCCTTTCCTTGATTGCAATTAACTCTCACCGGCCCACATTTCTAATAAGAGAGAGAGAGAGAGAGAGAGAGAAAGAGGCGTGATTGACACATCGAGGGGGCAAGGGGGAAAAAAAATCCGGAGGAGGAGCGGCGGCGGCAGCAGCAGCAGCAGCAAAAGCAGGAAAGCCAAGCCAAGGAAGAAGGCAAGATTGGACGCGGTAGAGCAGCGGCGGCAAGGCGTGAAGTTAAACCGGTCCTGAAGTCAGGGCGAGACGCCGATCGCTTGGCCGTTTTTGCCGCTGCAGCCGCCGCCGCCTTCAAGCTTTGTGTCTGGTGAGGGAGAAGCGAGCGAGCCTCCGCCACCTTTCTCTTCTCCTCTCTCAGGTTGCTGGAAATGTCTGAACACAAGGCGCTAGATCCGAAGTTATCCACGACGGAGCGGGTGGTGAAAGGTAAGAGGTGAGCTCGGCGCCCGCGGACGCCAAGCCGGCCTCGGAAAGGAGCCGGGGTGGGGGAGGGCCAGATCCGTCTTCGGTCGCCTGCTAGACTGCAGACTTGTTCCCGATCCCCCTTTCCTCCTTTGCGCTATAACCGGAGGGAGGCGGCGGGGGAGGAAGTGTGTGTGTGTTTGTGTGTGTAAAAGGCTGGCATAGCCCGGGCGGTGTGTTTATTTACTGAGGCTGCGGTTGCAAAATGAGTAAGGCGTATGGAGGCGGGGGGGGGAAGAGCGAGGGAGAAAAGAAGAAGGAGGAGGTCTGTTTGAAATAGGAAGTGGGTGACTGGTTGGGAGTCTGTCGGGGGGGAGGAAGAAGGGGGGGAATGACCAATAGATGGGGCGCGCTGCACTACCAGCGTAGGCGGAGAACGACTTTAGGTGCAGAGGGAACACCTAAGGAACGTTGCTGGGGCTCGATCGGCAGGGCTCGCGGGGGCTGCAGCTTCTAAAACGGCCTTCTTTCTGAGGTTGTGGTCTGCCTACGGCGTAAAACACACGTTCGCATTCTCTCTCTCTCTCTCTCTCTCTCTCTCTCTCTCTCTCTCTCTCTCTCTCTCTCTCACACACACACACACACACACACACACACACACACACACACACACACACACACACACACACACACTTGCTTTTCTGGCGTTGCTGCAATTTCCCATCCTCAGTATGGTTCCGCGGGATGGGGCGGGCAGGGGGGGGGGAGGAAAACCCTCCGTTGCTTTCTTTGCGCCTGGAAGATCCGGAGGAGGAGGAGGGAATTCGCACCAAAACTCCCTCCTTCCCTCGCCGCCCCCTCCCAGTTCCTCGGGGCATTTCCATCTTCTCCCCGCCCACTTTTGGGGTGGGTCGCTGTCTTGAACGCAGAGCACTTCTAGAAGTCTATTTGGGTTCGCTGCCTGTACAAATAGGCCTGTGTGTGTGTGTGTGTGTGTGTGTGGTGTGTGCATGTTTATGCAGCTAGGATTTGACAGCCGGATCTCTTCTCTACTCCCCCCCCCCCAACCACCACTTCCCTACCATTAAAGTGTTGCTTGATATATATGACAAGCTGGAGGTAGTGACTGAAAAGTCATGGAGCGAAGGTGCCTGGAGTGGGAGAAAGAAGGGAACATGGGAGAGGGGGCTGGTTCCTCTCTGTAGCCTGCCCTTTTTTGGCCCATTGTATGATTTGCATAGGGGCAAGAATTCATCTGTGCAAATACAACTCCTTTCCTTTCCCTTCCTTCCTTCCTTCCTTCCTTTTTTAGCTTCTCCCCCACCCCCACTAGGAAATGCTGATATGGTAACAGGCAAGCTTATGTTGCAGTAGCAACAGAAGAAATCCTACAGTGGTACCATCTTATCACTAGCTAGATCCACCCTGTTCTGGATGAAAATAGCAGATTTTTCATCCAGAACAGGATGGATCTAGCTAGTGATATGAATTTCCAACTGCTGCAGTTCAAGAGATAAATGGAAATGTACTGGTCCTCCAGCAAAGGAAACAGAATAGAAAGTGATACACTGCTTCCTGCATAATTTTTTATTTTGCATTCTTCTTTCCCCGTGCCCTAAATACATATAGTTCACCAAACTGATTGGGTGGACTTTTAAATTCTCTAAGGCATCTCCTCAACTTTAGTTTATTTCAGTAGGGTCTGATGGAAGACTACCAGAAGATTCTGTGGCAGTAATCTAGTTTGTTACACTTTTAAATCAAAACAGAAGAAATAAAGGAAAAAATAAACACCAGAAGCAGGAAATGGTAAACTATATCCATGTCAGAAAATCTAAATGGATGTGTCCATGCAATCACCAGGAGTTTAACTTGACTCAAGGGACATTTTATCTTCAGTATACCTAGGATTCTAGTCTTGTTATCTGGATTTTAAATTTACTTTTTTTTTTCCAAGTGAGAACTTAGGAATTGTAGCAAGGGGATTGTACATTTCCCAATGAAACAAATACCAACATTTCTTGTTGCTTTTGGTCAGGTAGGGAATATACTTGTGTGGTGAAAACAATTAAACATTTCCAAGGAATATGCATATAACTGGATTATGCTAGCTGGGTTCACAAACCTCATTTAAACAAAATGTGACTTGTATTGTTTAGTATAAGTCCCCTATCTGAACATCTTCCAGATATGACCTCTAGGTCAGCATTCTTCAACAGCATGACTGAGAAAAGTTTTAACATCTGAATGGTGAGCAAGGCAAAGAAGAAAGTTTCTTGAATTAATTCACCTACCCTATCTTGTAAATCCTGGTTTGTAATGTAATGTTAGGCAAACCCATTGTTGTGATGAGTTAAGCATGCTGTGGCTTGATGTGCAACCATTGATATTCTTTTAGAATGTATTTGCTCCCATTTTCCTCAGTGGAGGTTGAATTCAATGAAATTTGCAAACCTCAAGAATAATAATGACCAATTAGAAGGCATCTAGCTGAGGTGGTGTGAATATTGATTCTCTGGCCTCTTAATCCTAATATGATTATGCCAGCATTCCAAAGAAAACGAATTTGTCCTTTAAAGTTCTACTGGTAGTTTTTGTTTTTTTTTTAATCAAAGCCTGTTTATTTAGGGGAAACCAAGCTCCCTTAAGCTCACTGGAGTGGCCTGAATAAACATTCATGAGATAGTATCAGAACCTGTATTTAAACTGAGCAAACCCATTGAGCTTTCTGATCTTTAATATCAACTAACTCTTATATTTTCAAAGGTCTGAATAGAGCATTGTATGAATGTTACATCTTTTCATCTTATCAAAATCTAAAAGCCCTGGGTTTGAAAATGGAAAGAGAGCTATCTTAAGCGTTGGGGAAGATTCCCTGCAGTTTTAGGAGGCAATTCTATAGGCATTCCCTGTCAGATTTTTTTTTTAATTGCATTGATTAGTTATGCTTAAATGTGCTGTGTTTGTGGAACATCACTTTCTGTTCATTAAAGCAGCAACACTGAAATACTAAGGAGAAATTCTAATATGCACCTATCTGGGGGCAAAACTATTAATTCAGTAAGGCATCCTTAGTAAACATTGTAGGATTAGATTGCATTCAAAGTCAGATAATTAACTTGCTGGAATCTTCATGCTTTTTTTCTCATTTAGACCAAATGAACTTGTCATTTAAAAGGTTATTTTGATATATAGTTTCTCAGTTTATAAAGCCTATTTAAAAGGTAACTACTGTTTATTCATCCAACGTTAACAGGAACTTAGATTTTGTAAACATTTTTTTCTGTTGCATATACAATGAGTCCATAATTTGTCAAGTGTCTGCTAAATAACTCTTGTTAATATACATTTTTTTAAAAAAAATATAAATATTGATAATACTTTTCTGTCTTTATCTTCTTCAAATTAACTCCTGTACTGTCTGCCACAATAAGATTGAGGTAGTGCAGCAAATGACACTCTGCTTTTGTTCTCCAATTTTAGCTATGGCAAAATGCTATGGGATACAAAATAGATGAAAAGATCCAATTCTTTGGGAATTGTTTTTTCCAGTCAAATATTAATACCTATCTATGCATATCTAAGTACAAGATAAATGTTGCATTTGTTTTAATTTCAGATATGGGATATCTGGACCAAAGTTGTCCAAATAAGAGATATCTTTATGACTTAACTAGCTGAAACCAAATCTCTACGAAATAATCAGACCGAATCAAGAAATTTCGTGCATGGTGCAAAATATTAGGATCCTACAGGAAGAAAGATGACATGTTGGTTATGTTTAATATAAGCTTTTGCATGCTAATAAAAAAAGCCTCTGTTGTTTTCCCCAGGAGTAAAAGAAATGTAATTTGCCTGTGGTCATGGTTGTCAAAGTGGCATGCTGTGTTTTTCCTATAAAGCTGGATAATTACAAAAAGTACTTTCAGAATAATGAGGATAAAAGCAAAGTTTCCCCTTTATTAAAGAAGGATACGAGGAAGAGGAGGAGGAAAAGAACTTTTATTTAGCACTATAATTTAACTTGCAGTATTGTTCTGGAATATGTGGTCCATCTACCTGGCTTGATGGGAGAGAAAAAAAATCTTCACTTCATACCACTTTATTCTAGCACATAATCAGTTTATTATATATTAAAGTTTGTTACCAGCTTATTGATCTTTATAAACCTTCTGAGTAGATGCATACATCCTTTATGTAGAGAGAGAAATTTCCTTGTGAAGTATGTTAGAAGTGGGACCTTAATCTTTGATTAGCTGTCTCTATTATGCTAATCTATATTTGGGTTTAGCATGTACAGTGAATCGAACCAATGCAGGTTGTTCAACATAGTTTATAGCTATGAGCATTGTGTGAATGCACCCAGCTGTAGTTTATTCTGCAAACTATGTTTAAACATACCATGGCTCATTGCAATATTTAATCTGGGATATGGATGGCTAAGAGGATTTTTTGCTAGCTTTGATCTAGAAACTTTGGTTGAAGACATTTTGTATCACAATAAGGATACAAAGTAATATAGTGGTTAAATGTTTGGTTCAAATTGCCAAGCTTTCTACAGTAATGCTATCTTTTAAGTAGTTGTCATTTTGAATGAATTTTTAGATCTGAAAATGTTAAGCTCCTTCTGTACTCTACTATGTAGTACTGTAATGTGTACTATGTAGTACTGTAATGTGTAAGTGCTACAGAAAGTACGGCAGTCCCACTTGTCTCAAAGTTTTTTCATTTACCATTTAGGTTCTGAAATAGGACTCCAAACCATTTTATAGTTGCAGAGAAATAACACTGTTGTTTCAGATAACAACAGATAGCAATTTATCATGTATTTTTTTGTGAAATACCTGATGATTTTTTTGATGAAGCTAAATCAAAAAGTTGTTTAATTAGTATGGACTCTTATCTTACTTTTTACATGTCTGATTCTTGAATGAAATCTTAAGCTTATTGTATTACTTAAATTCAAAGTAAACCCCATTTCAGCTTTACAGAACTAAAGCTGGAATTGTAGGATTATATTTGAT